TTCCTGAAAGTACTGGGAACAGGGACATCTTGAACAGGGGAGGGTACTTTAAAACAGTTGTGAGTTATTGACACTGCACATTCTACCTGGTTATATTTCTCTCTCCGATGCTAGAAGGTTATGTGTAAAGAAATGTATCCTTGCTCAAAGTGCAAAAAGCTATATAGATCATCTGTGACAGAACTGAAGCAAGGAACACGATTTAAAGCAGCAAGACTTGAAAACAAGTTGAACTGTCAAGGGAACCATATTACCCAGCCTACACACCATCACTACTTAACAGAATAAAGCACTTTGATACTGAAAAGAGAATTTCAGAGAAGGACTTGAATGTTGTTTTGCCCCTTCTGGCCAGACTGAGGGTGAAATTTGGCAGACATATATATGCTTTTCAGTTTTCAGCTCATTTTTTGACTGCTAAGATTTACTGAGATTGTGTAGAATGAGAGCAGGGATTTAACTCATAGGTTTATACACGGATAAATTCCTGACCTAGAAACTTTATAGGGGGATCTACTTTAATAGTTTGAGAGTCCTCTTTATTTGGATACTTTGTATTATCATTTTTATGTTGTGAGATGTTTTGATGGGTATTGCGTTCCACTTGGGCAGCTATGAATGTCAAGTCTCTACCTAGGGATTTTTGTCAACAGCTGAATGACAGACAGTTGTTTCTTTATGAAACTAATGTTGGGAAAATGCCAAATTTCGACATTAAAAACTTTTTCAGTACTTCAGGACAAATTCTGTTCTTAAGACTGAAAACAAAACAAACAACAACCTGGATGCCTAGCTACAATTGTTGACACTTGAGTCATACATCCTCAAAGCCCCTAGCTCAGCGCTGCCTCATTTTGAAAGTACCTAAACCAGGGGTGGGCAATTATTTCAGGCAGAGGGCCACTTACAGAGTTTTGGCAAGATGTTTTGGGCCGCATGGGTAGCCCCTCCCCTTGACAGGTGCCCCACCCCCTGGTCACTATCTTGTGACTGCAAGTTCTGCCCCTTAACCCCTGACTTTTGCCACCTGAAGTTCCTCCCCTTGCCCCTTTCAGCAAGGGGTTTTGCCATCTTGGAACCAGAAAAATACCAAATTATATTCTAAAAAACAAACATCTACAGCATTCATTAGTTTGAATTTAAAAAATATTTTTTCCTGATTTGCATGTGTTTGTGTAGTGTACACACATGTGACTGATTGCACAATAGCTTAAAATGAAGTCTTATTCTTGTATACTGTGGGGAGTGGGTATAGGTTTGTGGGTGACTGTGGGTATGTGGGTTATGGGTAGGTATGGGGTTTGTGGGGGCTTGTTTGTGGAGCGAGAGTAGCTGGAGTGTATGAGTGGGTAGCTGTGGGGGTCTTCATGTATGGCAGTGCAGGTTGGGTGTGAGTGCATGTGCATAGTGGGGTATGTGTGTGGGACTCACCCTATGAACACACACATGCACACACACAGGCATTCACACACACTACCCCTGCCTGAATACACACACACACACATACAAACACACTGCCCCTGCCTGCATACATACACCCACTCACACACACTGTTCCAGTGAAGTTCCCTTGGTACCTAATGTTATGCTGACAGTGTGTCCCAACCTTTGCTGTGAGCTCAATTTCCGAAGCACACCCTGACCTCTCATTCCCACTCAGATGCAAAATCCAGAAACACAGTGGTGAAGCCATTCTAGAGGCACCCCTTTATGGTTGTCCTCAAGACCTCAGTCTCTGGCTTGCTTCTGAAAGCAGCCATGGTGGGTGCCATGGAAGCAGCTTCACTGTCACATTTCTGGGCTTTGTGCTCATGAGACAGGAGCAGGTAGGTAGTGTGTGTGTGGCTGAGTGCACCATTGGTAATGGTGGGGTATGGTGTTGCAGAACCTAAATGTATACTGAGAACTTCCTAGGTCTTGACAGGGGTAACAGTAGGTACCCATCTTGCACTTACACCCCTTCAAGATCTACAAGTTAGGCACTCCTCCCCCTAGCTTATTTGTGTGGCAAGATCTACTATATATTCCAGAGCAAGCCTCTTGATTGCTTCCTGTGTAGATCATGGAAGGAAGAAGAAATTATGGCAATTCTGGTCCCTTTCCTTTTTTTACCCAATAGTCCAATGGTTAGAACTAGGGTTACCATACATCCAGGTTTTTCCCTGTACTGCTTTTGGGACAGTTTTTAAAATAAGAGGAAATGTCTGGGTTTTCTGCTGTCCAAGTCTGGCTGCTCTGGGATGGAAGCAGCAGGCAAGCTGATTGGCTGTTGGTGGTCACGTGCTTCCCGTGCAGACTCTGGTGAGAGAGAGAGAGTAAGAGAGAGCAGGTGGGCATGCAATGTAGGAGCTCCCTGGTCTGGGCAGCAGGACTGGGGGCAGGGGCTGCAGGTTGGGAGTGAGGGGCACCTCCAGGGCTCGGGGAGGGGGCAGGGAATGGGGCTGTGGGTCTGGGGTGAAGGGCACCACCAGGGCTGGGGGTGGGCAGGGACTGAGGGTCAGGAGTGAGGGGCACCAGCAAGAGGTAGGGGCAGGGTACTGCTGTTTGGGAATGAGGGGCACTGGCAGGACTTGGGTCAGTGGGTCTGGAGTGAGGGGCAGCAGCAGGGCTGGGACTGGGATGTGGTGTGTCACTGAGGGGCAAAAGAATGGACAGGGGCAGGGCACTGGCATGTCACTCCCCCCCATCATCATATTCCTCCCTCCCCCCCTCTCCCTCTCCCTGCCACCCCCATCCCCCGCTGCCCCTGGTGACAGGTCTCCTCTTTTTTGGACCTGAAGGTAAGGTAACCCTAGTTAAAACACTTACCAAGGATGTATGAAAGTGAAGCTTAATCCATCTCTTGCTTGAAGGGAATGGAAATTACATCTCCCGTTTTCTAAGAATGTATCCTAATTGCCAGGTATTTTTTTTTCTCTTCTGTTTTGAATACATTTTATTTGAGTTAAATGGGAGCAATGCCAGTGTAAATGAATTCACAAATAATTTTATTATTGGTAGCAGGTTGTAAAATGGAACTGAAACTGTGGGAAAGAACTAAAGGTGTACTGAAAATGTCTTTGGACCTTTAAAGATTTTTTTTTTTTTTTTTTTGCAAAAATCTTGTTTGTTTAATAAAATATATCATCTCTACTATGAGTCCTGATTGCCTTTGGATCTTTAAAGATTTAACAATAATAGATGTGGTGCTATCTTTATGTTCTTACTTTTCTTTTTTTTTTGAAAGCCTAAGTATTGAACATTGAAATTTAAGTAGTAATAAACACAGGTATGTAAAAAATATATATATATGTTTATACTTTGTGAAGTTTTGTTACCTTTTCTCTTCTGTAGGTTAGAGAACTCTATTTAGATTATGGACTGGGAAGGATCACAACTACACAAATGCAATAAAAAAACTGATATTGAGGTGTCAGCAATGGCATGTTATATATGCAA